CTAAATACGATAGACGTCATTTCTTACCGGCTTATTAGTTTACGTATTTGGGATTCGAGTGATGTCAAAACTATTGTTAAAGTCATGACAAAACTATTTTTAAAGTCATGAAATGGAGTGTAATCAATGGTGGTCGTCAAATTAAGTGAACACACATATATACATGGGTAGATCTGCTAATATGACAGAAGTACAAAATACAAAATGACAAAGTACAAAATTTAACAAACATTAAGTGTAATAGAAATAGATTTAAGTCTGAGCTAACTAGATGTAAAAGTAAGAGAAATAAATATTCAGTAGAACCTCAGAACTGGAACCGCTTTTTGTGGTTATAAAATGAAGTTGGCTGAATGGTCGGATGATATAAATTTTGAATTGTGTCTAAAAAATAATGACAGCAAAAGGTACCAAGGGAGCTTGTTGTTAACTGTAAAATGTTTGTTTTAAATTAAAATGAGGTAAACTTTGGGCATTTAGAAAAAAATCCGCTTTTTTGTATTTAACAGAATAAGAAAAGATTGTAATACATTTATTGTTTTCAGATATTTTTATATTATACATGTAATCCATAAATATTTTTCTCACCGATTTTAAAACCGTCTTCAGTGCTCTGCAGTGAAGTTTTTATATATTTTCAATTCATATTTTCTTTATTATACTGTTTAAGTTCTCTTTAAATAGGTCGATATACTGAATTAACCTTCATAACTTTTGTATTTATATTACAAAATTTAACCTATATACGCTCATAAATCGGGTTTACTTTGCATTGTAACTGACACCTGCGTTTTGTATTCAACTATTCAACACAGAATGAAAACCGAACATAACGTCTAAATATCGTATTACTATAAACAAGTTACGGGTGAATTCATAGGCAGACGAACTAGAACATGGTTTATATTACATTTCACTTAAAGGTATAGATAATGTATTTTCTTTTTAATAATTTTACCAGCTAAAAGTCGGCAAGGGGGTTCAGGAGGGAATCGTATATATTAGGAGTTATCTAGAGTTTATATAAATCTAGTTTTAGCATATCTTGGGCTTTATGTAATATAAATATATATTTGTATTGTGTTATCTTTCAATAAATTATACCCATTATTATATTGAAATTAATTGAACGTTTAAAATGTAAGTTTATATATATAATTCTATGAAGATTAAATAAAATCTTACTTAATCATATTAAAGATTTTAGTATATTATGAATTATTGTCATTGATCATTAGTTTTATTCCGACTTTATTCGAAGAAGTGGATGTACATTGCTTATACATGTCGTCACTAATAAGTCGATTGGTCCATAAACTAAAATAACTAAATATATATTGTCCTAAAATTTGATGTGGCAAGTAAATGACTCCTAAATATTGTGTGTCGTTTTTTTTTCAAAGTCCATGACAAATGTATGGACCACACAAACACACACACGCACGCACGCCCACACACACACAAAGACAGACAAACATACTTACACGTGTCAGTTTACCTTTTAGTGTGACCATTACCACTGAGCAATGGACCCGAGTCTTTAGCCCGACGCATTGTCAGATGGTGTTTAACATTTGTGCCGAGTACTGAATGATGAAATCAAAGCAGACGCATTTTTGTCATACATATTAAAAATTAATGTAGTATAAATAGTATATCACTATCGCTTCTAAATGTTCTATCTTCCCCTCGGTGTGTACACCTTGCAGATAATGTTCAAGATAATTTGCAGATTTGAAATTTGCCAGTAGACAACTCTCATCTACCCGCACTTCGGAATAAAATCTTCTTTGACTACGATTGGATAGCCGCTGCCGATCTCATGACTTTAGTCGAGGGAAGTGGTCCTACAAATTTTGGTCGAGGGAATTAAGCCGGGACGACAAGGAAAGTGTGCCAGAGTGCGTGAGCCAAAATCACAGAGAATTATGACTTGAACGTCAGGTCATTTTCCTGGCACCAACAAACCTTTACAGAGCCACTTCCTCTTCATAATATCTCAGTTAACCGTATATTTAGGTTCTCATTGGCCACCGTGTAATGGCTTACTTTTGCCTCAAAATTCACATCATTGGGTAAATGTAGGAATGGCATGGACGTAAATTATCACCAATTTGTGCTTCACATCTAAAATAAGGGCATGACATGTGACACTTCCGTGGTCAGTATCGACAGCGACAGCTGCTTTTTGTGCAGTAACTGGCGAATGATCCCTTACTACAAATATGGGACACAGTCAGTTATCGCTATCAAAGTTTTTGACCCACTGATAGAGACACGGTTATTTGAATTTATCTCATTAGAAAGTTTCTGGTGGTAGTGTAAAGAGAAAGAGAGAGAGAGAGAGAGAGAGAGAGAGAGAGACTCTCTGGTACAATGCGATAATTTACTGAGGACAAAAAGTTTTCTCTCCTTTGTTCCAAGGACACGTTGTCCTGACAAAAAAGAAATTAACTCTCCTCTCATTGTAAGGACACGTGTGCTCACTTTGGTGTCTCTCACTTAATATAATGCGATAACTTCCTTTGAGGACAGACCGATTTTCTCTCCAATGTTACAGGGACACTAAGCAGTCCTCACAAAAGAAGAACTCTCACGTGTCAATGAAAACGCCAAAAACGGTTCGTGATGGTCAAGGGGAGGTGATGAGGTTTGAAAATCAGCATGAGAGTTGTGCGTAATGCCTTTGGAAATGAGTGTCCTCAAATGGCGGGTCTGTGTGTATAGTCCTCACTCGACGCCTGAAGTTAGCTAGAGGGAGAGAGAGAGAGAGAGAGAGAGAGAGAGAGAGAGAGAGAGAGAGAGAGAGAGAGAGAGGTAAATGAGGACAATTTGTCTTGACTCTTGATATATAAATGCGAGCGTCGTGCAGATAAAAGAAAGAAGGGATGCTGAGATCAATAATAAGTATGTGTATTTAAATCATTTTTAATTACAAATGAATTCCGATTTCTTTGAAGTACAAGAGAAATTAGCCAAATGTCAAAAATGTACAAATTAAACGTAGTTTAAAACATAATATAATGTGTCAGTGTGACCTGGGCTATTGAAGTTATTATTGAAACAATTAAGGATATAAATTACCTTTTTATATACACTTAACAGTGAGCTCTGGGTAATTTATATTTTGTAGAACAATCTATTTAAGAATAATTTTTAAGTATATATATTGTAAAAACCCCTTTTGTACTACGTTAGTTGTTAGTCCGTCAAAAAATATACAATAGAGATCTCTGATCCCCTTTCAAAATTGCATATCATATTTCGTTCCTCCAATTTTTTTCTCGTTCAGAGCACGCGCATTTGTTTGCTTGGGGACCATATGCCGCTTTTCAAGGAATGTCTCTTACGTGTCACACTGAAGGTAGCATAATAACCGCCGTATGAAGACATACGGGGGTTTCAAAATTCATATTTCTACCATTTTATGTTAAATGTTGAATACTATTTAAACCGGTGCTAGGGGCATGAACGATTACTTGCATTCTCCATTTCCGTTCATAAACAGGCTCAATCAAATTGAGTCTGCAATATTTTTAATTTTGTATATTTGTGCGTCCTTTAGGGATTATTTATTTCTTTATTACAATGTGACACTTAGGTGCCATTCCATGAAAGGCCGCGTATGGTCTCCAAGTAAAAGAATGCATGTGCCCTAAATGAGAAAACAATGTTATAATTAGTTAAAAATAAAAAAAACATTATGTTTCACTGAATTAAATGAACAATCAATAATAAAAATGTAAAAAAAAATATCATTAGCAATTATTTTAGTATTAGCTTCATAATATACCTTATGAAGTTATTTAAACATAATCAGGTGGTTTCAAAATTCTTATTTCTACCATTTTATGTTAAATGTTGAATACTGCTTAAGCCGGTGCTAGGGGCATAAACGTTTACTTGCACTCTCCATTTCCGTTCATAAACAGGCTCAATCAATTGAGTCTGCAACTTATTTAATTTTGTATATTTGCGCGTCCTTGAGGGATTATTCATTTCTTTATTACAATGTGACACTTAGTGCCATTCCGTGAAAAGCGCCATATGGTCTCCAAGTAATCGAATGCGTGTGCCGTAAACGAGAAATCAATGTTATAATTAGTTAAAGAAAACTTAATGTTTGACTGAATGAAATAATAATCAAAAAATAAAAATAAGAATGTAAAAATTATACACTGATACCAATTATCTTAGCTTTAGCTTTATAATATACTTTATAATCAGGTGCACAGTGTAATTCTATCTTATTTAATATATTTTATATATTCCTAAAGCTAGCATATAAAGATTTTATTTTAAAGTTAAGATATTCATCTAAAAGGTTAATTTACCGACATGTTTGAAGTCATGCTCTTTTTCATTTAAAGTATAAATTGACCCGGATGTTGGAAAATTATGGTATCGTGTGCACACAATCTTTTGTTAAAATCTTCAGGAGTCACCACCGTTCACAACAGAATGATCAATACATTACACTATTTATCGCTAAATTTAACAAGTTGCAACATCAGATATTTGTTTATACCTCGGAATAAAATGAGAACAAAAACAGTTACGGAGTATCTTTATATATTTGCCGTTATGTTTTTTACATTGTTTTGATAAACAGTCCAAAACAATATTCCTTTGGAAGTCATGATTATTTCAGAAAAAAGTATAAGCGAAGGTGTATCAAGTTTGTCTACCGTTCCAAATTGATCTTTTCATTCTTATGCAGACAATTGACAGTTCATAAATTAACTTTTTATTTAATATCATGATGTAGAATATGAAGATCCGTGCCCTCTTCTGTTTTTTTTTAACAAAAGTTGTCCGTGTTTTATACATGCCCCTGATCAAAACCGAAAGTAGGTTGTTAAGGAAGTATTGATTCAAATGATTGTATACAAATGAAAAACGGTACTCTGTTATTGTATGTCAAATTCATAAGATAAATCGTATTTTTTGTTTAAAGATACACTGGTTGACAGAGATTGCTGTGTGATACCGTTAATACAATGGATGGTTCTGACGAAGTCTGTGAAATCTTTTGTGAGCCTTGTGAAAAAGCTAAACAAAAAACAATAGCAGAAGGGTTTTGTGTTGACTGTTCTGAATACTTATGCGGACAGTGTTTTAATCATCACAAGCGTTTTAAACAATTTGAGCACCATGTTCTACAAGATAAAAACAGCATGCCTTTGGATCCAAAACATACTGTATCGAAATATGTCTGTACATCAAAGTGTCAAGTTCACGCGGATGAAGTTATAAAATATATTTGTAAGACCTGTGATAAGATCGGATGTAACGTTTGCATGACGATAGACCATCGATCATGTGATGGTGTCAGGTATATCCCGGACGAAGTGAAGAAATCTGTTACATCTGTAGAAATACAAGAATTTGCTAAAATGATAGATGATATGCATGTAGTGCAACAAGAATTGTATAGCAAGATTGGTCAAAATTTTCAAGTATCCGATCAAATGATCAAAACAGCTTGTATGGACCTTGAGCGACAAAAAGATCAGATTGTCAGCTTCTTTGAAAGTCTTTATGATACAATGAAAACCGAAGTTGTTAAAAACAGGACTTAGATGGTAAAGTATTTAAAACTTTGTTGAAAGAAGTCAGGAGTATGCAAACAGAGCTGAAAAATCGGAAAGCGAAACTAAAAACTTTAGAACAAGGTCAACAAATCTGTGAAGGTTTTATTTTCATGAAATACACGCAAGCAGTTATGGAAAAGATGTCAAATGACATGAAGGAACTATCAGAAAATGGAAAGGAAAAACCAGCTAGATACGAGCCATCTTTAGATGTCGAAGAACTGAAAGAAGATGTCAAATGTTTAGGGCGTTTGTTAACTGGAAAGCCAGACCAGATAACACAAAGTAAGATAAATAAGTAACGACAAATAAGGGCGTCATTTTAGACATAAAAAATTGTATTTTGCCACTGTTCATTCAGTCGATTACTTTAGTTGAAATGAAAAGACACTGTCATGTTTGAAAACTATTTATTCCAATGCAATTACATAATTATCGTTCATGCATTATGGAAAAAATAATAAAAATGTAAGGGCTTACCTATAATGTAGAATAGATAAATACAGAATCCCTAAAGAAAGCCCAACACGGCAAAATTAAAAATGTTGCAGACTCGGTTTATCTATAACACTTCTTTTAGTGCTTTGATTATCAAAGACACGTATAAAAATGTCATTAATGAATTCGATAATTATGTCATTAATTTTTGTTCCAGTCGAGTCGGTAAAGAAAAAGATGGAGAAAGAGCTCCATATGATACGCCGTGAAAAAGAGGATCTGAAGGACGTTCTAGATAGGACGAATGCAATAGCTGAAGGCCTTAAGAAAACTGTTACTGAGTTACAGTCACGTGTACAAAAGGTTAGTTTTATCTCTATATTGTTGATGAAGTTAACTAACGGATATTTATTTGAATACACTAATCAATCCGTTTTCTGGTTACATGGTTGATCGAGCCTGTAAGTGTTTGTACTTTATTTGAGTCTGTGTTGTGAAGGATAATTAGTAGATAATGCCAATAGGGAGTTGGCAAAGTGTTAACATGAATTCTTAAAAAAAGACACACACATGTACACAGGTATATAATACAGACAGGAGTTTGAACATGCGAAGTTTTATATATTATATATTATAAAATATTTTAAGCTATTTCATTTTCGCTGAAATAAAATCATACCGATGTGTCTGTTTTTGTTTCTTTTCGATGGGTGGTCAATATCTTTAAGGCCAATGTTAAAGGTGTGATTTATCTTTATTTGCTGTCCCACAAAGTTATGTATAATCCACGTAAAACACAAATTTAACGTCCAAGCCTAAAGTAACTTTGAACAAGTATATGTCTGTCAATTTGCATTTCATGAAAATTAGATAATTTAATTTGAAAAAGCATCAATACAGACCTGAAGTGTGCGTATGCCGCCGAAACAAAAAATAGTCATTTTACAAACCTAAAAAAATATCTAGAATGTTGTTTCATAAGTTATGCCTTATTAGTTGGGCAAGTATAAATACAAGTCATTTGCTTGCTTCATTTGTTATCAACAATTTTATCTAAAGAAACGTTATATATCTTTTAAGGAAGAACAAAACAACAAACATCTGAAAACTGAGAAAGAAAATCAAAACCTGGACTATGAAAGCAGGTAGTACTTAATTTTTACCTGACATATTCATATGACTATTTACGTTGTTTGACCTATGGTGGCCCTACATAAATCAATTGGTGAAAATTTGCTCATGTAGCCTTTACTTTCCGACTGATGTCTTTCATAGTTTGTAGGTAGATACTTTAGGATGTCTATAACTTCGGTTTTGTTTGTCTAGGTCACCGGTGTTTACACTCTTGCTCTGATTGCCTGTATATATTGACTGCTCTGCATTGAATAATACATTCACAAATGTGCAGTTTTTGGTAGTATGCATGGTCTTTAGCGATATTCCTGTAGTAACGAATATAATGTAAACTATAATATAATAGGTTCATCGTAAGAGTAAAAGAGTATGTTGGACACATTTTTGATTTATAAAACCTGTCACAAAAACGCCGCCCAGGGCACAATTTGTTTTCTTACAAAAGAAATAATTCGGACAGTTAGTATTCTTTCATATTTTAACTGATAAATATTGATTGCTCTAATTCATTTGTTTCATTTATTTCAGACTACGTAAAAGTCAAGACGAGTAAGTCTATACTATTTATAACGAAATATGAAAACTGTTGATAGTATAGATTATTATTTTTTATATTTCCTTATAAGAATGTATATTTAAAGTTAATTCTAAGGGCGTCATTGAATTCCAATACCTTCTTTATTATATAAAAAGATGACTCGAATTGATTCGAAACAGAATATTTCTATTTTGAGGAATTAAATTACAAAAACTATTGGAATCAGATGGCAATAATAAGTCCAACGTTTTTATATATGATATTATGTTGTTGCTTAAATATAGTAATTAAAGCTGTATTAAATGTCATAAAACAGAAATGACGACATTTCATTAATAAATTAGGTTTCATGTCCAGACAACCAAAATGAGATTTTTAAGCATTTCTACAACCTCATTGTGGCGAAATCGGAAGTACAATTTCTGTTTGCCCTTCGGTTCATCAATATTAAATCAACAAACATATCCGTATTGTAGGGGATGTTTTCATACAAATTTAATCTATTTAATGAGATGATTGCTTTTTTCAAAACGCCATGCCTAATGCACCGTGAAGCTTAAACGATTAAATTGGGTTTGCAGAAGAAAATTTCATACTTTCTGTGTCCCGGATAGCAACTATAACACTTTGACGTAGCGCAGCGCATACACGAGCTGATTTTAGTCTTCGTTTACATGATAAATTTGTACAATTCCGTTTAAAGTTGTAATTTATGAAGAATATTTGACGATATTACCGTTTAAAAGGTTTAAGAAACTGCAGAATGTTTATAATGCAAAATATTCTTGTGCCTCCACTTGGGGGGGGGGATTTAGATTTACCCTTGTCCGTTCGTCCGTCCATCCATCCGACGGTCCGTTTAATCTCATTTGTGTCGCACGTAACTCAAAAAGCATTTGACCTAGTCATGAAACCTAACAGGAATGTTGATCAGCATGTGCAGTTGTGCACCTGGGTATTTTCGTGGTGATTTATTCAGTATTTTTAGAGTTATTGCCATTAACTTAGTAAAAAGTTGCAATTTTCAACTTGTGTCGTAACTCACTTGGGGGGGGGAGATTTAGATTTACCCTTGTCCGTTCGTCCGTCCATCCATCCGACGGTTCGTTAAATCTCTTTTGTGTCGCACGTAACTCAAAAAGCATTTGACCTAGAGCCATGAACTTTACAGGAATGTGATCAATGTGTATTGTGTACCGGGTATTT